GATATGAAAACTATGTAAATCATTTTCTCTCCATAAAGCTTGTATTGCTTCTATTGTTATATTAGAAGCTTGTATTCATTTTTGTCTTCTGTGGATTTTTATTTAGATGGAAACACCGCGTGTATGCACATATGCATGTGTGTGTGCAGCTTCCCACTTTATTGCTAAGGCCAAAGCATTATTGCAGAATGAAAAGAGATATATGCCATCTTTATTTGATGCAGTCCATGACTTTTTTATTACTTTTCCTAATGACTTGATTACCAGATTCTTTCTTAAGGAGGCCATTTTGGTTGATGATTAAACCACTTTTGAACTCTTTGTTGGATAAGTTAAGGTAACATAGCTGAAAAAATAGCTTGATGGAAGCTGTCAATATGCTTTTTAGTCTGAATAATTCTGCTATATTTTAAGCTGTTATAATAGTTGGCTGATAGTCTTTCCTAGGAGAAATGTCCTTGAGTATTTATTACTCTCAGCTGTTCTGTATTAGCAGAGTTCGTATCCAGAGCATACCACTCTTCATCGTCCAGGCAAAATTATTTTTGATGCATTTACTTGGAGATGTTGGTCAAGACAAATACGTACTCTTTCCTTAATAAATATGAAATAGATAAACATTTTCATTGTTTAAGATAAAATTGTTCTAATGGTCCTATTATTAGCAAATTATGCATTAATTACATCTTTTTTTCTTCTCCTCACTTCTTCACAGCAACTATATGAAATCTCTGCATTTATATCAAATTTGAGTGCAATTTTAAATCTAGAATTAATCCCAAAGGTCATTTAGACAGTTCCCCTTTCTTCATTTTACAAGCTTGGACTCTAAGAGAAAGAGCCTTCCCCTGTATTACCCGTTGACCCAGTAGCAAACAATCATCTTGGGACCCCAGTCCAGTCTTCTCATTGTAGTAGGCTTCTCCCAGAGAGTAGGGATTAAAAAATCTATAGTTAATTTCTAAAACTCACTATACTGGAAGCCTGTCCTAGATTTGCTGCTTCTAAGAAATAAAAGTAACTGATTTCAGTTTCTGCTCTTTTCTCTTTCCCTTCCTATTGTCTGGCATATGCTAATAAAAAGTAATTTCGTTTTAAAAACATTGTGGAGAAAGATAAAGCTAACAGCATTCTTTAGAAAAAGGTTAAATCACTAACTGCTGGATTATTTAGAATTCTACTTGTATGACTAACTAAGGGATCTTGGATATCAGCGAAGGCAAGAGCACAGAGAGTCTCTTGTCATATTACAAGTTTATGGAACTCCTGGTGCTAAATAAAAACGTAGGCTTCTGTGGTCTCTGGCATAAATGTTCACACTGTGCTCAAGAATTCCTATATTAAAGTTATCATTAAATAAGAAAATATTAACTTATATTTGAAATTATTATGAAGGCATGCCAGGCTGTAAATAATTCAAAAGGACTTTTAAGTAAATTAATCAATTTAATCACCATGAAATTAGGAAAAACAGACATAAACTTTCATGTAAAATGCATACCAAGTTAGACAGGCATACAAATATGCACACACCTCATCACACATACACACACACACACACACACACACACTTACTCACAAACAAAAGCATGGGAAGAGATCCAGAAAAGAGGTAAACTTATGTAGGCAGAAAATCTGTGTTCAGATTGTCATAGCAAATCAAAGAAAATGTTTGAAGTAGTTTTTCACATATTTGGGGCATAAAAACACACATTTACCTCAGATACTTGGATAATTGCCTCTGCTTTCCACTTGCTTTGGCCAACGAAGACTTGCCACAGAGACAGACTAAAGATTCCATCTCATCAGCCTTGCTGGACCGAGACAGGAAAATGGCTCTTGCTGCCCGCACTGGCTGGAACAATGACAGGCCGGGCGCCATTCTGAGGCACCCTGACCCCACTATGCACTAAACCACAGCAATGTACTCATTAATAGCAAATCCTGCCCAGAAATTAAGCATTCCTCTTCCCACTGAGAACCAACAAATTCAGGTCAAAGAAAAGCTATTAGGGGCTAGTTCTCTATAATTGTTGCATGTTGAAGCTGAAATATTAAGCTGAAATGCATATCTGCTTGTAATAAACAGAGAATTTAGAAAATGGCTGATTCTTTCAAAGTTAGAACTTATTACTAGTTCTACTAAAAAAAAAAAAAAAACCTCTGGTAAAAATAACAGTTTTCCCAATTACCAATGGAGTTTTAAAGAACATCAATGGTTTTAAATTGTATTTCTCAATGTAAGTTTAATATAAATCGATGTAAATTCAAGGAAGTTTTCAAATATATCAGCAAAGTATGTAATTCATTCAGAATGAGTCATACTATTTTAAGCTTTAAGATGGGCCTTGAAAATTATCTAGGTTAACATTTCATTTCATAACTTTAAAAGTTAAAACTCATAAAGGTGTGAGGATTAGAAACTGATAGAAAACACTATGTCCTGCACTAATGTAAATTTAGGTTTATTCCCAACCCTACTACTGTGCCCTCACTGGAGTACAGTGAGAAAAGCTGCCTTCAAGGATTTCTTCTCTTCTTCAATTAATTACCCCTGGCTCTCTTTGTCCTATAATCAAACTGGTCAGCTTTTATCAAACTGGAATTTCTTCTCTGCTTCACAGTGGATCAGAATCCATGGCTCTCAAAAAATAATCACCAACCTTGCCATGCCTCACTTTAAATCTGGGGAGAAAGCAGGAAAGCATTGCAGAACTTAACAGGCATCATGAGCTTTTAGACTGTCCACTTCAGTGCTCCATTTGGGTTTATGCATCAGTGTATGTCTACCAGACAATTATGTCCAATTAAGCTGACAATTATGCCAATTATGTCAAATTTTGAGAGTAATGCAGATAATCAGCAAAATCCAAAAGTTTTTATGAGTATGAATAAAAGGCAATTAGTTCATATTTTAAAAAATAATTTTGATTTATGTTGGCAAAATATCATATTTTTGCAAGCCCAGTCTTTGTGCTGTGAAAAGATACATATTGTGAATATAAAATGAAAAATAAAGATATATGATGATGTAATTTAATGTATATATGAAATAACAAAATATAATTATATATTATATTATAATAAAATGCATATCACATATTATATATCATGTATTTATCATATTATATAAGGATATAAAACATTTATGAAGGACTTATTAGTTACCAGGCACAATTTTAATAGACAAGTACTATTATTATCCCCATTTTATATATGAAGGAATTGAGTCCAATGAACTTTTCCATTATAATGTTTAACTACACAATGTTCTCTCAAGTGCTTGCAGATTCTAGCATAAATCCAAAAACTCTTTTTTTTAAAAAAAGTAAAGCACTTTTAATTTTTAATTGCCCAATGTTAGCCATCAGTAATGGTCATTCTGTGGACATGGGAAGCCATGAAGAAGTCAGCTGACGTTCATGTGCATTTCCCAGGGTGCTCCTTGGTGCCAACCCCTTTATTTGAAAATGCATCAGGATGCAAATGAGTGACAGTTAACTCATTGCAGGGGTAATTTTGAATCCCTTTAGGGGAAAGATTTGAATATCTTTAGGGGAAAAAAATGCACAAACTTCTGAATTCTCAATATTATTAGTAGCAAATTATTTGTGAAACAGCAGCATTTAGGAGTTTAGAGAGGCTCCCTATGTGACTGTTCACAGCTCCTCTTTCCCAGCTTAAAACCTCAGATCACAGATAAGCAAACTCTGGTAATAAAACAAAAACTACCAAAACTTTATTTAAAAGGAAAATAAAGAATATACCTAAAATTAGCAATTTTGCTTTTCATTGAAAAGACTTTAAGTTTCATATGCTTAAAGTGTCCAATGAGTTTTTTTCCAATGAGTTTTATGTCCTTTATTACTATTTACCATAAACTGAATTGGCAACACAATGTCAGAGGCAAATTTCCTAGATACTATTTCTTCTATTTAAGTAACCATCACCAGGGGAAAGTAGTGGCTATGAATTGGCCTAAATCTAATAATCAAACTATCTTTAGTTATGAGTAAAGGAAAGAGGTGTATGATCATCCTGTTAATTACACAATTTTCTGTAATAATGCATTAATATAGGCATATACTCATTAAAAGATCCACATGATGTGATGGAAAGGATTTTGGCATTAGAATAACAGCAACAGGTTAGAAATCCACTCTACTTACTAAATAACCTGTGTTCTTAGTTAAGTACTTTCAGCCTCAGATTACATATTTATGAAAGAATATGAATACTTACAGTTCACACATTGCCCGTGGCAACTTTTTATAAATATTTTTCTTTATGTCCTTCTCCTTTGCTGTTAATGTGATTACAAACATAAAAAATAAATAAAATATAACTCAAGACATAATTCCCATGAAATTCCACCCCAGCCACTGATTAACTTTTTAGGAACATTGCTTAAATCCATCCTCAATAGTATTTCTTCTCAAAAGGTTTCAAGACATAAGTTTATGTTTTAGCAGTTAGACTTGTACTATGTGGGATGAAATTTACAAAGGGTATGGGAGTTTCGTTTGTTTGTTTGTTTTTGAGGAGAAGCTCCAGTTACAAGTCTTGTTCTTTAGAAAGTCAGTCACTGTTGGGGCGGCCCCGTGGCTCACTTGGGAGAGTGTGGCACTGGTAGCACCGAGGCCACGGGTTCGGATCCTATATAGGGATGGCTGGTGCACTCACTGGCTGAGCGTGGTGCTGACAACACCAGGCCAAGGGTTGTGATCCCCTTACCGGTCATAAAAACAAAAACAAAACAAACAACAACAAAAAAAGTCAGTCCCTGTTTATGAGGGAGAAAGGTTTGAATGGGCCAGACCCTGTCACTTCACCCTTCTTGCTTTTGGACTCCCATCCTCAGTGTTTGGGAGAAGATACTTCTCTGTTCATTATTTCAACTTACCCATCAAGCAAACATGGCAAATCTCCAAAGTACATGGCTTCCTGCCCCTATCTGGGCATCCACACTCTCCCTTCAGCCTTGATCTTTCCTCTTGCAGGTAAAAACAGAAAAAATGGAGAGAAAAACATGGCGGATCCCTTTCTCCCCGTCTGTGCAAGCCTGCCTCCAACCTGGTGACCGTTGACACTCACCCTTTGTGTGAAAGCCTGGTTTATTTTTTAACATGTTATACTAGATTTGACTAATTAATTCAGTCTTGTAGCTTCTGTGGTTTTTCCCCCCAACCTAGTTTTTAGAGGATGTTTCCCCTTTCGAAACTTCTAAACATACTTTGACAAGAAAGATATTTACAAATATAATTATACAGCTTCACTAATACCAGAAAAATGCCTAGTGAACTAACTCGGTATATCATAATGGCCAAGTGAAGTTTCGTGTTTTTTGTCCTGTTTTTATTTGAAATTATATATCTCAGAAATTAGCTCATGATCTGAAAAAGTTGATGAAGAAATGGTGAATTATAACACAGGAGTATTGCCACCGAATGGACTGTTTGATTTATTCAAGCGGGTAATGAAAAATATTGCTGTCAAATTCACTAATGAGTCATCTTAATTAGAACGTAAACTAAAAGGGGCATTACTCCATCATCTTTTGTATCCCAGTGCTTTACATATTCTTTGTCAGGAAAGGATGAAAACCAGCAATAAACAATCAGAGACTGACCATGGCTCTGTAGGGTTTTTGGAACAGTTCCTGGGACTGGGAAGTGAAAATGGACAACATGTGGAGAAAAATGTCATTTCAGTAGTAAGATTTAGGTGAAGATGACTAAGCCATTAACAACGTGCATTTATATTTAATTTTATTAACTCCTACCATCAGTCTCCTTGGATCTTTTCTTTTGGGAAGAGGGTTGATATTTTTTATTGGAAGGACTTGGGCTGAAGAAGGAGATTAAAATTGAAGTGTATATAATTCTTTCTGGGACTGCTTAAATTTCATTGTTTGAAAATTCCCTTACTTTCCTCCTTTGGTCAAAGAGACATGCTTAGAATTCTTGTTTCTTCACAAGAAATAACTTTATTGTTCTTAGGTTAATTTTTAAGCATGAGATGTTATATGGGCTTCTCATTTAGTAATTCTAGCAGCTCCATCTGTGGCTGGAAGAACTTTCAGAAAAATTTTGAAGGGTAGGGATATGATTCTTAGATCATTACATGTGTAGTTTTATTTAAAAAATAATTTATTAGTCATCTTAAAGGAGTAAATGTCTCTGGCTCAAGATGTTACTTATGTTACTTATTTTCATCTTTTATATTTTCTCATCTCAATTACTGTCAGAGAGGAACTGTCCTATAAACTAGACATCCAGAACAACTGGCACTTTAATAAGATATAATTTGAGGATGTTTATGTATCTGTAAACATCACTGTGGAGACGTGTATGAATCATCATTATCGGCATCTTCCTACATAGTCCATACTGAAATTGTACGACCAAGACCAGATAGAAATATAGTTTTGGAAAGAAAGAATAAAAATTAGAAAGGAAACCATATGATTAGTGTGGCCGGTACCAGGAAAGGAAGAGCACTTTTGTTTAAGTAAACTACATCTATATCAAGGAGAAGAATTATACAGATTTATTTATGTTGTCTTTACTAATTTTCAGGCAAGAAGGGATTTTAATTGACACATGTTGGTAAAGAAGCCACCTGCCCTAATATAATTGATGATCTTTACCTCTTAGCAATTTCCATTTTAACCTTACTTTATTTAAAAGGGAAATATAATTTGTTTTGAAAGTTTTTTTTTGTTTCCTTAACATCTTCAAACTTTGCATTGGAATTTGCTGTTTTGGTAAAAATAAACAATGAACTACAGGATATTTGTATGTGGTGCTTTGCTTTTAATTACTTGCTGGAGAATTACCAGTGGAAAAGAGCATGACACCAGGGTGACTTTCCTGCTTACACCAGTTCTAGAACAGCAAGGTTCATATTAAATGTGTGTGCTATGTGGAGTGGTGTCTCAAAAGGACCAGTAGTTTTTGAGGGTCCACTTCCAACTTTAGTTGTTTAGAAGGCCAGTCAGTGCTTAAGAGAAAGAGAGCATGTTAGGACTACTGCCTAATTATTGGCACCAACTCAAGCGCTGCCTAGGGTATGATCACAGCTCATCTACACCCTATTTAATCCTGAAGGGTCCTAATTTCAAATCTGTCCTATTTGAATTCTCAAAAAAATAAGTCTCAATAATTGATTGAGAAAATATGGTCCGCTTATAATGTGTGAATAATCATTTAGGAAATACATTTTTCCTACTATCTTTCCTCAAATGTCTAAACTCTTCTTCATTAACTGTTACTAACTTCTAAAGAAGAAATAACAGAATTAATAAATAATTGTATTTCTGCTCATTTTTCTTTCTAATTACATATGAGTGAGAAACTGAGTGGAAATTGCATCTGTATTTCAGTCATATGTACTTTTTTTTCCCTAAAGACATTAGTAAAATTCAGAAAAGATTAACAAGTACCTTTATGGTGGTCAAGATAGACTGGGGTTATATTGAGTATGAAGTTATAAATGGGTCATGTGTTTATCCTCATTTATCTGAGCTAACAAATAAGATAAAGATCTAAAAAGCTATGATCAATGTATCACAGGTTCTGTCATTTTTTCTAAAATATACACTTGTGCCCAAGTAATTCATGTTCTCCCCAATAAGAAAGGTTACCAGTAGAAAGCTATCAGTACCATTTTTAAATGAGATGCTGATAATGCTGTTTTTAAACTATTGCTTTTAGCACAGTTGTTGAAGAGTTGGTCTCAGCAGCAAATTGATTGGGTTCAAATCCTAACTTTGCCATTTACTAGTTGGGTGACCATGGCCATTTTATTTTTTTTTATCCCTGTTTGTGTTTCCTCATCTGTAAAATAGGGAAAATAATAGCACCTGCCTGATAGGTTTATTAGTAAGAACTACAAAAGATTGGCATTGACTCAGATATAATAAGTACTCAGTAGAAGGTATAATTTTATTAAAATATGCAATATACATTTCATTAATAATTTTATGTCATGTACATTTTATGTTCTTATGAGTTGATAACTTGTTTATATAATACAATCAAATCCAAGAGGACAACAGTGTAAACTTACAGGCGCTCAGGTAGTTCTTTGGAGGTCTTCTGCAGACAGGTGCATTTGACCTGCATGATCAGAGTTTGCAAATAGCAGGTTTCTCATGCCAGGAAACCCTGTCTCTTGTCCTGACTGTGCACTCTGCCACTGGCTAGCTGTGTGATTATGACAATAACCCTTATAGAATTCAGCATCCTTTTATAAAACATACAGACATTGGCTTAAGTGACCTCTAAAATATATGTGACCTACACTAAATATCGAAATGTTTCCATTATTTGCCTGTAGTCAATGATTTAGTAGTAAAAATGTTGAGAACCTAGAGAAATTTAGGGGAAGAGAATGGGGATGCAGCAAAAGAACCTCTGCATTGAACCACTGGTGATAGGGGACCATCCTGACCATTTCCAGTCCTTCACTAGATAAAAAAGTGACTGAAACAAGCCTCAGTAATTATTTGTAGACTCCTTTAGCTAACTTTGCAGAACACACAACGTAGAAGCATAACACTAACAAAGACTTTGGTAGATTATTACTTATCCTTCACTGGTGGGATTTTTATGGAGTAGTCTCAATCAGCAATCTCCAGGAAGGAAATTTAACACAAGAGAGAAAGAACATAATGGGTGAAAAACAAAACTAGACAGAAGATAATCTAAGTAGAAAAGGAAAAACTGTCCTTAGAGGCATCCTCCACCTGAAAAAGTACAGAAAAGGTAACACAAAGAAAGATAGGGATTGAATACTGATTTTGAATGGGAAAAGATGCAAAAAAATTAACACTGAAGTTTGTACTGTTAATTTTATAACAGAGGAATTCAGTCAGCTGGATAGACCGAACACAATTATTGGTGTCCACTCTTGGCGACATTCTGTCAGCATTCGGATAAAAATAGCAGCACTATTGTAGGAATATGATCTATGAGCTTAATAAAACATACTTCAGAAACTCCAGGGCATGGGATGGGGGGAAGATGGTTACAAGAGAGGGGTAAAGATAACACTGTATTCATAAAAGGAAAAAAAAGCGTGCTTTAAATATTCCCCATCTCATTTTCTTCTCATTATTTTTTCTTTTTCCAGCTCCCCAAGTATTTAATGATAGTGAGAGTAATTGATGAAAAGTCTTTGCCAGGACTAGTCAGAGAAATATTCCCTTTCCTTTTATTCCCCACCCCAGATCTTTAATAATTAAAGTATTACAGATTATAAAAGGAAGAAATAAATGGAAGGCTAAAATAATTTGTCATCTAATGAATCTAGGCATTGAAACTGCAGGTCAAATTTCAAAGGTCCTTTCCATCTGACCAATTTCTCTGTTTCATGATAATTTAACTTTGGGATAAGTAGTGTTTTTAGGAATCACTAACTATCTGACCAAGGACAACCTAAAAAACTGGAAAGAGATATTAGTAAAGAAATAAGGAAATAAACTGCACGTAACAGTCCATTTACTTACATTTTTATCGGCTTTAATTCTTTCCTTAAAGTTTATTGACAGTACACAGTGATGGAAGCTTTAAAAAGGAAAAAAGAATTATGTTTTGCTTTTTTTTTTAATTGACAAAAGAATCAGAGGAGTAGTCAGTTCCGAATTGTCTTCCTATTTTATTTTCTACTGCAACATTTTGCTCTCCATTCTGAACAAAAAACTAAGCAAGTAACATCACCCTACACTGCTCGAAACCTTTTTTCCGGCAGACACTGCAGGCCTGGCTCTGGGTTGAACTCAGGCTGTCCAAGCTAGTCTTGAGGATAACACTGCTCTGTTTTTGCCACATCCTGATTCCTTCACATTCTCACCTTTTCCTCACCTCCATCAGATTCACCAGAAAGCATTTTGCTTTCTGAAGGCCCTATTTTCTTTTAGGTAACAAGTAGTAAATGAACAATCTGGCAAACAGCTCCCTGACAATGATTAACAAGTACTTATAATTACTGCTGCCAGGTAACTAAGATGCCCAGAAAGCTCTTACAGAAATAACGATAATATTGTTAATAGCTGAAATTTACTGCGGGCTTTCTATGGACCAGGCCTAGCACTTCATTGTCTGAAAAAGAAATTATTTCAATTCTAACGATTCACCAGAAAGCATTTTGCTTTCTGAAGGCCCTATTTTCTTTTAGGTGACAAGTAGTAAATGAACAATCTGGCAAACAGCTCCCTGACAATGATTAACAAGTACTTATAATTACTGCTGCCAGGTAACTAAGATGCCCAGAAAACTCTTAGAGAAATAACGATAATATTGTTAATAGCTGAAGTTTACTGCAGGCTTTCTATGGACCAGGCCTAGCACTTCATTGTCTGAAAAAGAAATTATTTCAATTCTAACAACAATCCTCTATGGTTGCATTTTATTTCTCCTATTTTACAAATGAGAAAACGAGAGCTTGGTAAATTTTAAAAACTTGCCCAAATAAATCAGGGCACAGAATTGAAAGCCAAGCCTATTTTAACTCTTAAATTTGTGCTTCTTAATAGTCTGTTTTTTCTCTGGTATTTTCTGGGAAATGTTTGTAGGCAAGTACTAGATGGAAAATTCTACTTTGCATCAATTGAACTATTACCAAGTAACATTGCCACACCAGAGTTTTGAGGATGCAAACTTAGCCCTTTTCCATTTGTCCTCTCAATTCCATCACCTTTTAATGATATAATATTTCAAACCAAGTGAAAGAATAGAAATTGTATTATGGACGACCATTATCTTTATAGAACTGTATGAAGATCAATTGTGATAAATTCATTTATGTACTCACCCAGAATTGAAAGCCAAGCCTATTTTAACTCTTAAATTTGTGCTTCTTAATAGTATGTTTTTTCTCTGGTATTTTCTGGGAAATGTTTGTAGGCAAGTATTAGATGGAAAAATCTACTTTGCATCAATTGAACTACTACCAAGTAACATTGCCACACCAGAGTTTTGAGGATGCAAACTTAGCCCTTTTCCATTTGTCCTCTCAATTCCATCACCTTTTAATGATATAATATTTCAAACCAAGTGAAAGAATAGAGACTGTATTGTGGATGACCATTATCTTTATAGAACTGTATGAAGATCAATTGTGATAAATTCATTTATGTACTCACCAAATATTTATTAAGAACCCACTATAGGCCAGACATATATTGGAGAAAAGAATAGACAATTAATTATATTGTTTTGCTCAACAATACTGCTTTTCAATCAATGGATGACTGAGTAAAATTATTATGCATATATTATCCCAACCAATGAACTAATAATATGTGGCTTTATTGTGACCTTTGTGGAGTATTATTCATTTATTACTCTAAGAATGTCAGAGAATAACAGCAGGGAAATGATTTACTCTTTAATGGTTAAATATTAACCTATGGCAATTTTGTCTTAAATTCCCTTTAACATTTCAGAATGCTATACCCTTATGCTCAGAAAAAGTGTCTGAATGCATACATGATAGAAGTTTCTCTTCATTTTAATTTTTTTTATCTCTAATTTTTACTTTTAATACTCTAAAATATTCTACTCAGTAATTGATTTGGGATGATGCTTTATATGAAGTAACGAACTTCTTGGTTCTGATCCAACATGTGCACTGTATTTCAATGCAGTTTTTTACACATGAAAAATGCAGTATGTTCTCTCTGAATAGTAAGTGTGTTCTATGTTATGTGTCTGTTTTCAATATTTTAACATTATGAAGTATAAGTGCACTATTATAGATTGTAAATTTATAAAAGTTTGTCTTTACTATATTTATATGTGATATATTTCCAAATAATAAAATTTACTACTATCAATAGGTTGTGTCTTGTGTTATTTAACAGGAGTGGTGATGTGTTTGTGTTGATCTACATACACTTTTTCCTCCTTGGGACCAACCATAAGGAAATTGTCAAAGATTTGGGGTGTTGCCCATAACTCTGCAAAGACCAATGCCCATATGGAGAAAAAAGCCAACTAAGTGTAACAACCCATCTAATAGATCAATATCAAAGTATTTATTTTCAGCTGAATGATTAAAAACAAATGTCTTCTTTAGTGTTATATTCATTATGAAAAATAAAGGTGCTACTTAACCAAATTGTTGACTAATTATTATGTGCGATATGTCTAATTCAGTAGGGGATGGACTCCATTCTGGTGCAAAGTGATGGCATTTTTGAAATGTCTTTAGTAGAAGCTGTCTATTAACTGAGAAGCTTCTTAAGCATAGTAAGCAATGGAGCAATGGGGCAATGAATGCCACTTTACCACTTAAAGGACTTTTTCCTCATTTTTGAAAACAACAACTTGAGATGCAAAGTTTAAGTATCTTGTAGAACATTAACATGGCATTTACTACTTTCCATAATAGTTATTTGTTTGCTTGTCCATTTCACCCTCTTTAGACAAAGAGCTCTTCAAAGCCCGAAAGTTATGTCTCATTTACCTTTTGATTTTTACCACCCAGCACAGCACTCAGTTTAGAGGATAAATTCCTTGGTAATGAGTTATGAAGTTATCTATGGAAACTTGTTTTTAACATTGTTTTCTTTTAAAAACTGTAAAAAGTAATTAATCCCATGTCTCAAATATGTTCTCATTTTAGCTTTATCTTGACGTAAGGGAATGCCTTTGTATTTCTCAGTAAAACGTATTAATTTAGATTTACTTCTATTTGTTATTTTTTCTCTCAAGGGAAATGAATCAAATATAAACTTGAGGCCTGTTACAAATATTGAGAATATATTTTAGTATCAAGTGACTCTTCACATGAGTGTATAAAAGTTCAAATTACTCAAAACAGGTGAAACATTTCCATTACATTATGCTTATGGTTCTAAGAATTATCTACAAATATACTTGGGTTGGCAAAATCAGACCATTTGAAAATTAATTTTGAAAACCTTTTAGATATTTGATAAACCTAAAGCATGGGAAGTTTCTACTTTTCTGAAGAGAATGAAAAAGCATAATAATAGTGAAACTACGTAATAGTAGAAATTTAGCCATGTTAACACTGATTATAAGTGCTGAGGAACAAAATGAAATAAATAAACAAATGGTTAAAATTTGTTTGGGTTCTGAAGAAGGAATACTAATTGCAGTCATTTTCATTAATTACTCATGTAAACTTACTGTGTAGCTGAATTAAAATGTGTTTCTCATAAAAAAAAAAAATATTCAATAGGAGGTTCCATGAGGGCGAAGACTTTGTTTTATTCACCATTCTATCCTTAGCACCTAGATCAGGGCCTATTGTGCTCATTCATTGAGTACATACTTATTGAGGTCTCATTGCATGCCTGAACCTATTCTAGATGCTACACATACATTTGGACAGCAGTGAACAAAACTGAGAAAAATCAAAAAACAATTAAAAAAAAACCCTGTCTTCAAGGAGCTTACAGTCTAGTAGGAGAGATGCCAATAAACAATTAAAATATACTCTTAAATCGTGCGGTGATGAATGCTAAAGAATAACAACAAAAAAGAGGAACAGGGAAGTAGAAGTTGTGTTTTAAATAGGATGCTTTTGATATTAGTATAGTCACTCCTGCATTCTTATGGTTCCTCTTTGCATGATATATCTTTTCCAATTCTTTTACTTTCAACCTATTTGTATCTTTGAATCTAAAGTATGTTTCCTGTTGACAGCATATAGTTGGATCTTATTTTTTAATCCAGTGTGATAATCTCTGACTTTTGACTGAATTCTTTAACCTATTAACACTTAATGTTATTATTGATATAGTTAGACTTATAGCTGCCATTGTCTTTTGCTTTCTAAATGTTTTACTTTTTTTGTTCCTTTATTTCTTCTTTACTGCTTTCTTTTGGATTAAGTGAGCATTTTCTAGTGTAACATTTTAATTTCTTTAACAATATTCACTGTGTGTGTTTGTGTATGGTGCATGTGTATGTTTGTATTTCTATTTGGATAATGTATAATTACTTCTCTTCACAGATCCTTTTCTCTGCTGCATTCAGTCTGCTAATAATCTCATTAAAATAATACTGTTCTTCAATATTGCATTTCATTTCCATGATTTTTTATTTTTAGGATTCGACTGCTTTTAATATTGTTCACATAGTATTCCATGGAAATGTCCTGTTTGTTTATACAAGTTGTACAACTTTTTCACTTGATATTTTACGTGATTGTATTTATCATAGTTATTCTAAAGTCCCTGTCTGATGATTTAACAACTGGGCCATCTTTAAGTCTGGCTCTATTGATTTTTTTTTTTTCTATCCTGGACAGTGAGTCACATTTCTTTGTTTTCTCATGTGTCTGATAATTTTTTATTGAATTCCAAACATTGTGTGTAAAAGAACCATAGAGGCTGAAGTAAGTATTATTGATGTCCAGGAAAGTGCATGTCATTATTTTAGTGGTTGATCAATCTAATTGTAGTTGAGATGATCTAAGCTTTGTTGTTAGATTCAGCTTAATAAGGCTTCAAGTGTTCTGAGGGTATGATCAAAACTTTCTTCAATATCTGAGCATCTGGAGGTTTTCCTGCCTTGCCATCAGGTTTCAACAGTCTCTTTTAGTCTGGACCTCAGGCAGGGCGCTTTCTGTTCCCCTGCTCCTTGCCCCAGTCAACTGCTGTGTGATAATCAGTCTAAAGCCTAAAGGCCTGGGTTTTTCCTCATTTCTCCTACTTTTGTCTCAGACTTCAGCATGCCAGAAGCACCTGTCCCTCGTAGGGGAGACAGGTCCCTCTTAGCTCCCGCTACTCACCCAGCTGTAGATGCCACTTAACTCATATGCAGGGCAAGGCCAAGAGTGCATGTGCGGTCTCTCAGTTTTTCTGCTCAGCCCTTTGATTCGAGGACATCTGAGGTGTCTGTGACTCAGAAGGAAGTCTCTCTTGGCTCTCTTGTCCTGCCTCCAAACTTTCTTGAATACACTTGCTGAAGGCCTATGAGAAAGAATTGACAGGTGGGGGTAGATTCTCCTCACTTGGGGGTTTCCCAAGAATCTGAAAGCCTATGCTTTGTCTCTAAATCTCCATTAGAAGTTCAGCTGTTTTCTTTTTACCAACATCTGTGAGAACATCCTCCTTTTCTCACTGCTCTACCAGTGATGAATTTTAGTCCATTAGATTTCTTCACAAACTCAGCTTTCCAAAGGGCTTTGAGAAGTGATTTTTTTGTAGAAAATCTCTGTGTTTTCTTTTTGTTAGTGCACAGGTGAAGTTCTCTTGTGAATGACTGCATCCTAAGTGGAAGTGAAAACATTTTTTGCAACAAATACAGAAATAAAAATCATATGGTTTTTATTTATGGTGGCATCCACTAAAAAATGAAGGTGCATGATTAAACTCAATTTGATGAAGAAAATTATTTGAGGTTGTAAATAATTATTTTTTAAAGATATCAGCTTTCAGCAGTCCAAAGATTAAATTTAGAATAATGAAATGAAGGAATAGACTACATATTATTAAAACAATTTACTATAGATATTGCTTCTGTTGGACTTTTCATTAGGGGTTGGACAGCAGACAGTGTGATGCCATTCCCAGTTCTACAAGATGCTTAGGTCATATATAGAATATCTTGTTTGATTCTATACTGCTACTTTCAGAGGACAAATTATAGAATATTGTTTGTGACTGGGGGGGTGTGTGTGGAAGGGGATGTTGGCTAGAACATAAGGAGGCCTAGAAACCATGCTATGAGAAGCAGGTAAGAGATCCTGGGATACGTTTTTTTAAGAAGGAGAAGAAAATGTATTTATATTTATATCAGTTCGTCATGTGGAAGACTGAACTGATTGTTATAAATCTTCTGCAATTAACATCTTAGCACATAAGTGTGTCTCTGCACTTTAGATTATTTCCTCAAAACAGACCTTTGTAAAATAATATTGAGTGTAAACGTGCTTAAGCCCATGACTTACACTACACAACTGCTCTGCAGAAAGATAACATCAGTTTTTATTCCCAACACCAGTATTTCTTCTGACATATCTTTACTTAGTATTTAATATTATCTACTTAAATCTTTGCCAAATTGATAGGTTTAAAAAATTGATAGATTAAAAACTCTCTAGCTTATTATGGTAGGATCTTTTATTTTCTTTTGCTTTCTCTTCCTTCCTTCCTCCTTTCTTCATGCCTTTCTATTTGCTTTTTATAGTTCTCATTTCAAATATGTGTGAATTTTTATGAGGCTACCTTCAGTTCCTTTAGAGAAGGATCAATGAATCACACCTCTGGGATGCCAGAAGACAGCTTGCTTTGCTTCTGCTGCAAGGAACTTTGCCACACCTATGGCTCACTCCCAAATCCTACCAGGTTGGGTGTAGGGCCTGCAGCATAAAACAGAGTAGTTGTGTTAAAGCCAGTGAGAAGCTTTTAAATGCTCATTTCCAATCTCAATGAAATATATCTGTTAACTTAAGATGACTTGCTGTTTTAGTTAGAATCTCTGAGTGGGTAGTTCTCTCTGAGTAGTTTAAAATATTTGGGTTTTAGACTGAGATGGAAGATACTAAAGGTTCTGATTGTATTTAGGCTTTAAGGGAATACCAGGACTCACGACAGCAACTTCAAAAAGTCTAGAACAAAGGGTGTTACATTGGCTGGAGTAGTTCTGAAACAATCTGCTTTTTAGTCCTGAAGTTATTCTAGTTCTTTCTGAAACTGCTCAAACAATTAGTTGCTGGGATCTGAAGGCAGAGTACCACAAGCATGGTTTCTAGACAACTAAAACACCATGAATTATTGGCCTTAGGATACTGATGAGGCTTGCTTCCCTTGTCCTCAAAGAATAGTTTAGAAACTTTTCACTATGAGCCTTATTGCTTCAAGGTATTTGTAAATAGATCTATGGATACTGCTCATGGCTGGTTGATAAAATAAGATATTCTTATTTGGGAGTCTTTGGTCTAAGTACTAAAGTAAGAATTATGGTCTCCTGCTTGATATCCCTTCGCTTGAAATTTATACTCAAAAGTAAGGCCAAGATTTAAACACCTATCCAGTTAACACAACATTTTAGTTTTTTTGTAGAGAAATGCCTCTGACAGGCATTATACAGTTAAAATCTAATTTTCAATGCTGAGATTATCTGTAAAAAGTGGCCTGACTCAGAACTGACCAAGTTAAAAATGAGGAACTCAAGACCTCAGTCCTGACTCTCTGTACTTGCCTCTATTGTGCAAAGAAGTCTACTTCCTTTCTGATTCCAAGAATAACAAATAGATTCCAAAGAACTTGGCTAAAGAAATGGGACACACATTTCCTCTGCTCTTGACTCTTCCTCTTCTCTGTTTGGCTTGGAACATAAATCTGCTTGCAGAACAAAACTGACTCCTGCATGGAGCTGACCTCTGCTCCCAACCTGTCTGTGTGGGTGGGTTTGGCGAGGAGGAGGAGGGAGATCCGTTAGTTCCTACCAGGACTGGAGGGATAGAAGATTGCATGAGGTAGAAGTCCATTTATGGGGACATACTGAGCTCAAAATAAAACAAATATAAATATGTCTCAGAGGCAAAACCATGTTATACACAAGCATACACAGTACCAGTGGAGGAGAGAAATCAGAAACAATCAACTCACAATTGAAGAGAGTGGAAAAGGGCTTAAGAGGATAGAGAAGAGATTTATCCTCTGTTCTAGACAGGGCAGGATAATTTCTGAGTTGAATATAGGCCTAAGAGCCATAGAACATTGGATACTTTTTTGTGAGACAAAGTAAATGTGTTCTCCCCTTATCTTTTACTGGTAGCCCACCTGATTCAGGGGTGGAGGAGACACTAACGTGATTGCTGTATACGAGGCTGTGTTTCATAGATGGGCACATTGTCTACATTAAATAAACACTTTTATATTTGTATTTTATGTATATGTTTTTTACAAATATCTATGAAGTACTTCTATTTGCAAAACATTATGCCAGGTATACCAGGCTCTGAGGGGTTCCCAAACATCAATAAGTAGAAGAAAAATGTATATGTCCACACATGATAGATAGCCAGGAACAAGCAAGAGGGAAGCAGTAGAAATATTTCAAGATGGGCCTGGTGTGCACATAGCTAGTCTTGTAGTTCCAGTTGTAGTGATGACATGGGCTACATAGCTCAAAATTGGAGCTGGGAAAAATGTCAGAGAGAGTACACTTTTAAATCCTGTTCTGATGTGCTATGCATCAAAAGTCCAGCCCAGATCTGGAAGACTGAGAGCAGGTCAGATAGAAGAGTGACTTTTAATTCTAGGTACATTTCTTAAGAATGATAGATGGTGGTTATTTTTTTGCTAATTTGTTTCTACTACAGTCATGTGTTGCTTAACTACAGGGATACCTTTTGAGAAATGAGAAATGCATCCTTAGGCAATTTCGTCATTGTGTGAACATCACAGAGTGCACTTACATAACCTAGATGGTATAGCCTACTACACACCTAGGGAATATGGCAAAGCCATATAAGTTTATGGGACCACAGTCACATATGTAGTCTGTCGTTGACTGGAACATCATTATGCAGCATATGTTTGTACTTAGGTACATGGTTTGATTGAGAGAGTGTTATAACTATCTACCAAAACATGTTCTAGATATTTCTGTTCTCGTAAGTACTGATGTTAGTGTAAATTACCAAGAATTATTATAATTTGTTTTATTCTTTTAAAAAAAGTGGTTTTCAAGCCATTAGCAATCCTGGTGGGGAATATTATTATTAATTTATAAATATAAATTCCTTCTTTAATCATTCAGAAGGTACATTCTGGAAACTCATCTTCTTGACATCTACTTCTTACTCCCCCTTTGAGAGAGTTACTTGCACCTCTGAGCTAAGAGCTTCCCACTGAGATCCACCTTCTCAAGGTAGCAACTCCACAGCTGCTCATTATTCTTGTTTTGTTCATCTCAGTCATTAAAATCAAAGGCCTGACTCCTCCTCTAGAATCCAAATCCCATCACAAAAATGACTTCAGTTGACTGTTTCTGCCTTATCTCCCACCCTTTCTCCTAATATTACCTGTGGGCAAGTATGCTTTTCTACTCTTTGAAAATGTTTCTGATCTTCCATTTGTTTGGGGCATTTTCATTTGGGATCCTCACATGTGCTCAAAGTCAGTCTATCTTCAGCTGCAATCTCCACTGCACGTCCAGCTGGTTTTTTCCTGTTCTGACCTGGCATACACCTGCCCACACCTGTTGATTGCCCAGCTGCTTGGAAAAGCCCCAGCATGACCCTGACCATCATGAGAACAGTGTGGGCCCTTTGGAATGCTTTCAACATTTCCATTCTTTATGAGCTTAAATAGTGCTGGGGTTTTGCAGCAGAGTGGGTCAGAATGCCTCCTTGACACTTTTATCACATTGTTTTTTTAAGGCCCCCCAACTCACAAAATCACAGACTCACACATAGTTCCATCAGCTTCTGCCTTTTAGCCTCTATATTAGTTTCCTAAGGCCGCCATGACAAATTACCATAAACTAGGTAGCTTAAAACAACAGAAATTTACTCTCTCATAGTTCTGGAGTCCAGAAGTCTAGAATCAAGGTATTCGCAGGGCTGCACCCTCTCTGAAGCCTCCTGGGAAAAATCCATCCCTTGCCTCTTGCAGTTTCTAGTGGCTCCAAATGTTCCTTAGCTTGTATCACTTCAATCTCTGCCTCCACTGTCTCCTCGCCTCCTTCTCTTCTATGTGTCTCTCCTTTCTGTCTCTTATATGGACACTTGTCATTGGATTTAGGGCCTACCCAGATTATCCAGGATAATCATACCCCAGCAGTCTTAACTTAATTACAACCTTAAACTTAACCATAAAAGTGTCTCACAGGACCCTTTTTTTCAAATTAGGTGACATTCACAGCTTCTGGTGTATTGGACACGGACAGATCTTTTGAGGAAGGGCACCACTTAATACACTACGATATCTTTTCTATAGGGGGTTCAAAATCATTAAAAGGTGTCCAGTGGGCAAGAGGGGTCATCCTACTCAGTGTCATAACAACCAGCTCTATTTTCCCTTTACTCCACGAAGAATCCTCGCGAGCCGGAACTTCACTTTTCCTCTTCCAATCACCTAATAAAAGTCCCCATCTATATGAACTAAAACGGATTCTGATTTGGTGTAAGGGGGAGATAGGAGATAAAGAAGCAAAATCAAAACAGAGGGGAAGGTGAAGCCAAACTTTTCATCAGAAAGTCAAAAATGTATGTAAAATCTGTAGAACAAATTTATAACAAGATTAGAGAATAGGTAGCAAAATTAGTGTCCAGAAGAGTTAAAATCATGGCAGATTGATGGGACAGTCTAAGTCATATAGGAATATGTCTGAAAGTAGAAACAGGACATTGGGATGCTTAGCATTTATTGTGGTGATGGGTACATCTTTAAAAACTACACATTTATGATCTGCATTGTCAGATAAAAATTCCCTAAATAATAAGAAAATGAGCCATTGACAAGTCTATTGGGACAAATTTTCCACATATGTATATGTAGGTTAATTATCAAAACATGTGTGGAAATATTTTAAGAGCTCTTGAAACAATGAATTGACCTGCCTTGGCTGTATGTTCTGTCATATATCAACTAAACAAGCAAGCTAGGACCACATCCTACCCATAACTTATAATCCCCCATTGGTATCTAGTAGCATGAATTCTAAGAAATAATTAATAAATCTTAACAAATTATGATAACGTTTTGATCACTGGTCCAAATGATTTGTATATAAATCTGCAAAACCAACTTTAAAAAGATAAGAGCATTATCTTTTTTACTCTAGTAATAAATCATTCCTACACATAGACTATGCCAGTGGCAGTCTATACAATTTTACTGTTGTACCCTTCCCTCAGGAAATCTTTCTAGATTCTACCTCCAGAATACAGCTTCTTGCTACTCAAGGTGCAGTTAATCCATGGACTAGCTGCAAAGCCATGACCTGGGAGCTTGTTAGAAGTGCAGAATTCAGAATTTCAGTCCCCCCCACCTCAGACTTACTAAATAGGTGATTCATATGCACATCACTCTTTCTAGTGTATTATTTATTAATGACCTCTCTTCTTACACCTTTGAACTTAACATTTTGTCATTCCTAATTGTTATTTTTATTCCAACCCATGTAATATGTGCCATTCTCTCCAAACCAGTAAAGTAAAAATGGGGATTTATAAAAGTGATGTTAGTCAACTAATATTCTCTACTGTTTATTTTATTTAGATCCCCCAATTATTGAAGGTAATATGGAGGCAGCAAGAGCAGTGGATTTAATCCCATGGATGGAGTATGAATTTCGGGTGGTAGCAACCAATACATTGGGTATAGGAGAGCCCAGTATACCATCGAACAAAATTAGAACAGATGGTGCTGGTACGTAAAAGAAACTTTCAGTTTCAAAAGGTCTGTAAATTTAATCCCTCTTTAATATATAGTTGAATGTATTTGGAAATAAATAATGGTCTGAGGTAAGTGATTCATCCAAAAAAAGTCTGTGTATGTGTATTTCACACATGAGTGTATTCTATGTCAAGAGAGCCAAAAATCAAAAAAAGAAATATGAAGTTTAAGAATATTTTTACAAGTTAATGTAGGGGAAGAGGTAAATAAAAAACACAGCATATTCTACTAGAGACCATTTAAATGATGTTGGTTTTTGAAATATAAACTTTAATGTAAATTCTGAATCTTATCCAGGCAGACTGTTGATTAAACAGGTTTCATGATTTAGAAGTGTTCACAATTTTCTGTTTTTCTCAAAGACATTTATGACTAAGAGACTATGTGGATGAAGGGTATTGGGAGTGGAGAGACAGGTGGACTTCTCAGAACTATGCACCATGGGGAGTCACAGCATCTCTAAGAAATAGCTAGGACATATTCTTTTAATATTAGGTGTCTCTCTAAATATGGTCTTTTATAGCTCAACCTTGGCTGTTCTTCCAATACAGGTTCACATTTTTATGCTAAATACCAACCCCATTTAAATAGCTCTTAGTGAAAGAACTACCTCATTCTTTTTTCCTTTAACCCTGCTAATAAATAATTGCTAAGGAAAAATGCTCTAATTCTAATGATAGCTCCTCTTTTATTATTCCCTATCAAAAAGAAAATGTTTTTGTAGGCTCTCTGGGTTCATTTATTTTCACTGTGCCTTGCCAAACTTCAGTGCTTTATTTAGGGAGAAAGATTTCAAATGGATGAGAAACTGCCATTAAAATTTGCTGTGATCTTTTAATATCACTTACCCATATTTTTGACTACCTCAAGCCATTGGCCTAACTTCCAAATAGAATTATGAATTTTAATGTCTCTAAGTTTTAAAACCCAAGTAATTCACAGGGACTGCCATCAATAAAGCGTATCAATGTTTCATATAATTTCATGTAATTTATCAGATAAAAGTGATGATTCTGAAATAAAGGAAGAAAATAAGCACTGAAATACCTGATCTGTGCTCAGTATTTTCACATGCATTTCATGTAATCCTCATGACAATATTTTGGTGTAACGCCCCATCCTCGTTAATAGGCAATAGACCCAGAGACAGTAGAAAGTTTACCTAAGTTAATATAATGAGTTCAGAATTCAAATCAAGATCTGTCTGACACCTCTTCTCATACATTGAGCTTTCTCTCTTAAAGGCAGCTTCTCAAACAGGATTTAAAAATGCATTCATTTATATGAACCTTATTAAAGTTCTAATAGAAGCCTAGATTTCAGTCTTAACTGTGAAACTAGATATGACCTAAACATTAGTTTTTTGTTTCAGTATATCTACCTACAAAATGAGTGCAAGTCTTTTCGTTTCTTTTCCTCACAGAAATCTCATTAGGATATAGAAGTATTCTAAGTTGAATCTTTACAGAACACAGATACCACACAGGCAAAATCCTTGTGTTTGGTTTATATTATTCCCTAGACCCACCTATGTTTGTAACAGAGGTTTCTGTATGATAGACTGAACATAGTTGCCTTTTTCTGAAAAACAAAATTAAAAAGAGACTGGAGCATGATTTGACTAGTGGTTTTAACCACATAATTTCACACTGAGAAATGATGCACTTGATTTGATTTAATAAGCATTCATTTTCAAAATAAAATTGAAGAAAAATACCAAGTGATTAAGTTGATCCAAGCAAAGTTATTTCAGTTAAAACAGTACAATATACCTATCTCAAATATAGCCATCTTATTTTAATCTCATTGATTTTGATTAATTTTCTATGACCTATTGACTAATACAATACTAGCAAAGTGTTATCTGAACACCAGATATGTCGAGGGAGGATACTTTCTTTGGAATGGGTGATAGATGTAGAACTCCCTCTTCTTGGGTATTCTGTTGCAAACAATATCATTATTACTTATCTCAGAAAACAATTGCTTTACAATACATAGGCTCATCATCCAGACAGAATTACCATAAGATCTGTCTTAGTTTTTTTCTGGAATATCAAAGTAGAAGTGATGAAATTATATATGTTTTTAAGAACAATAACAAAAAAAACACCAATGTCTCAAAGAGATTCAATCTAATTCTTTTATACCTGAAACTATGAATATAATTTTTATAATTATATTATAATATAATTTAATATTATATCTAGAAGTATTGTGCTCACTACCAGTGGTTTGGATGTAACTAAGGAATTTTCATCCTTATCTTTAAAGGCTGGGGGGAAAAATTTTTTCAGAGTGATATCAAACATAAAATTTTCACAAAGTTGTTACTTTCAACCAACTTCTTTTTGGTATCACCTTCTTCCACTATGTTTGTCCAAATGGTATTTTCTTAAGAAATTAATTTCCTCTCTGGTGAACTTAGAAAATCACTTCTTTTAGAAGCCATCAGAACCAAAACAAGAAAACACACTGATGCCTATATTTATTTATTTATTTTGGTGCTGGTGAGCATAAGACCTGAACCCTTCACCTTGGTGTTATCAGCACCATGCTCTAACCAACTGAGCTAACTAGCCAGTCCCAAACACATCAATGAAATGATGATAGTCTTATTCATAGTGCTATTTATTTATTTATTTTGGTGCTGGTGAGCATAAGACCTGAACCCTTCACCTTGTGTTATCAGCACCATGCTCTAACCTACTGAGCTAACTAGCCAGTCCCAAACACATCAATGAAATGATGATAGTCTTATTCATAGTGCAAGATATAGCCCCATAGTGCTATAGTGAGATGATTTATTCCTTTCAATTATGAAAAAATAAATCCTATAACCTCTACCACATTTGTTAATCTAGCATTAAAAGCATTTTAGGATCTTTTATTAATCAACTTTAATAGCTACTATAGTTTACGTAAGACATAGTGCTCAGCTCTCCACTTGCATTGCCTCACTTAATTCCCACAATAACATTCTAAAATTGGTATTATTATTCCAAAAGTTACAGGTGAGAAAGTTAAGATTACACCCAGTTAACATGAGGCAGAGCTGGCGTTCAAACCAGTCCTTTCTCATTCTAAACGCTTTGCTCCTAAACTCCTTTCTGAAGGCAGTGTGCAATATTAATGCTTCAGGACACTAATCCTTCTGTGATATCCTGGCATCATCATTTAAAAGCTCTGTAACAGGCCGGCTTGGGAGCGTGGCGGTGCCCCTGCCGAGGGTTCGGATCCCACATACAGACGGGCCGCTCACTGGCTGAGCGCGGTGCGGGAGCAACACCGAGGGTTGCGATCCCATTGCCGGTCACGAAAAAAAGACAAAAAGGAAAAAAATAAAAATAAAAATAATAAATAAATAAAAGCTCTGTAACTTGGGGCACATTACTTAACCTCTCTGAGCCTCACTTTTCTCATCTCTAATTTATCTTATGAGATTATTTTTATGATTTAAAAAATATATATAAGAAAAGCAGTTAGCACTCTGGGGTATAATATTTGCTCAATAACATTTATTCATTATGCTATTAATTTTTCATTTTAAAGTTTGATTTGCTGATAAGAAAATATGA